GGGGAATTAATATACTGGGGGGGAGGAGATCGTTAGGAAGATATGCTTAAATTGCAGTTTATTGCAGGTGTAACCCTTGCGACTACAGTAACGTCTATCCTTTAGTAGCGTAAATCCTGTGAAAACAGCCATTCAGTAAAGCAGAAGTTGAAAGTAAAGGCTTCTGGACGCCATAACAGTCTCGTCTTAAAATGGTGAACTATGCCAGTTATTGCAAAACAACCCTGCCTCAGCGTCTGCTATCTCTGTTTACAGGGTTGTCAGCCGTTGATAACTGGTTAACCCATCTGCTGTTAAAGCCACTTATTAGTCAAAAAATACTTTTAAATCTTTATTAAACAGTAAAGAATATACACAAAGTACATCATCAGAGCCCCCCATATTTTTTTGTTTTAGCTATATAGGAAATTCTATCAAAACCCACACAGGTCAGACAAGCAAAAAAACCTCCAAACGTATTTTGCACTTCAGTCTTGCCTTAACAAGCTACACAGGTAATGCATTCAGTTAAAGTAAATTGTCTAAGAATACACCAATTGTTGGGTTTAACTCTTGAACTTCACAGAGTTGTAATTCAAATAAATTTTAATGTTCTTAAGAAGCCAGAAAAGACTTGACCTGTGGAAAGAAAAAGGATATATATTTGATGCATTAAAAGAAAAAGCTAAATCATAAGGTCTTTCCCTTTCTTTCTTGGGGAATAAATGGTTTGTTAATGTCTGGTCAGTGCTGTTCTGCCTCTACATATAATGTATGATGTGAAATGCTTTTCAGTAGAGCAGATGGCTGGGAACCCAAGATTTATAACTTAGTACTAGGTAGAATCGAGTAACTTAATTACTCAAAAATAGCAAGTACTTATGAAAAGTAGCTTCTGGAATGCTTGACAGAATCTTACTTCATTAAATAAAAATGAATTTTCCTTCATTGGGTAGCTCTTTCCTAGGAAGAGAGGGATTGTCTGAAAACGAAGCCAAAACTGATAGCACTTTCAGCATGGTGCTATACCACCTGCCCCAAGCTGAAAGTAGCGCTGACCTTCTCATGCTGGCTGGTGAAGGGAGTTTGGTGGAGACAATGCTGGTGCCCTTTCAGTGGGGCGAGTTAGAGACCATGTCCAAGTGTAGCCTGGTTCGTAACTTTAAGCTGTTAATTGATGGCCTCTGTGAGGATGTAACTTAAATACCTCCAGAAGTGAACACTGTGCTCTCCTCCCCAGTTAGATATAGAGCTAATTAATTGGGAGAATTAGGCTTGGAAGTAATTTTTCAGTAATCTCAAATTGATGACCCAGAAACAAGAGAGAGAAAATGGTTTCTATGGTTTGAGAGGAGGATGCTCTTTTCCATCTTGCAAGAATAGTCTTGTTGGGGCAGTGGGGTTAAAGGAAGGTTAAAGTGTTGCAGTGAATGAAATAAGTAATGTTACAGATCAGCATTGGGGATGAAGTATTAGGGTATTTTTTTTACTGTGGACTGGGCACACAGCACATGGCTGCAGCAGAAGGATTTTTTGGGGCATTTACTTCCTAAATCTTGCCTTTCCTTGGAATTAGCAAGCACCATTTTGACTTGAGTGACCTATTTATTATCACCTTGTTTCCTCAAATGGCTGTTGACTCTCCCTCCCAATTCTACTTGGAAGAGTCACTTGATGCATTTAGAACTATGTACAAGGTTTTGTTATCTCTGTATTTGTCAGATGTGTTGTGCTCTGTCCAGGAAGACCCTTGATCCCTAGAATGTGAGGAGGCATAAACAGCTCTAAGCTGACTGTAGGATTTTTCTGAAGACCTCACAGCTGACACAAACTGGACAGTATCCTTCAGTGAACTATTTAATGACCAGTATGGCAGTACAGTCTTAGTGGAGAAGTAGTCTTTTAAAAACACCCAGTTTTCCTTTGAATTGTGAGAACAATGAGGTTGGGTTAAATTTTTTTTTTTTGAGCAAAGCAAAAAACCTTTTCTGCAGCTATGTACCTTCTTAAGTCCATGAAGGAGATTGACTGTACCAGCCCCAAACAAATAATCAGAAATTTTAAGAATGTAACAGTAACTTCTAGCTAGTACTGCATAAGAAAAGCAGATGAGGAAACATTTCATACTTACCTTATCAATCAGGTACTCCTGTTTAATTTTATCATTCTTAAAGTCTTCATTAACATCCAAAACTAGAATGGGGATCTCTTTAAGGTTGTCAAAATCAACTCTGTTAAATGGAAGAATGTCATGCTAGTAAAAATGGTCTAAAGTACTGTGCATAAAACAATTGAGCTCTTCCAGTTGCTTTCCAAATCATCCTAAGGGTGCAGCATTGCTCAGATTACCAAATGCACCTGGGATGTTAATACTGATGCCTATGACTTAAGTAAAAGCCTAAGTCAAGTCTGTCCTTAATTACTCTTGTATACGCCAGTCAACATACAGTAGCACTGTAGCTTTAATGTATTTCACAGATCTGGCCTTCTAGTATCTATTTTTATTGTACAAGTAGGGGGGGAAGATAGTTTATGCTTCTTACCTTAATATCAAATCACTTCCAAGGAATGTGATTTTTAGTTAGGGAGTATTTCTTTTTAAATATCACTTGCCCTCTGTCTAGCCCACCCCTTTCTAGTTAACTGCTAATCCATTTACTAAGATGCAGTTTTAAAGCTTCCTTTGTTGGGGATGACCTCTTCAGCAGGTTAAGACTGGTATTTAAAATGGCTCCAAGATAAGCAAGACTGTTTTGGCTACAGGTTAGGAGCAGATGGGAGAAGTAGTTGTGCAACTGGATGTATCGTTCTATTAAAGCAGTAGCTATTCTCTTCCTATGTGGAAGAGCATTTCTAAAATGCAGTAAGTGTGCTGAATAACATTCTCAACTTGGGTTTACAGACTTGAGCGTTCCTATGAAAACTACAGGAAATGCTTGCTCACAAGTCTGGAATGAGTACACAGCGTAAATGTTCCCAGAATTACACAATATTGCTGCCTTGTCTGCTGAGCATTTGGGTCACCCTACATTAAACTTAGGAAAGTAGATGTTACTGATAATGTACTTTTCCTGGAATTGTTGTGCTTCCCATTCAGAGTATTTCAGGCTCCTCTGGGGGAAAATCTAAATTCTGCTTTCACATTTAGATATTCCTTACATGGGACAGCTAGTAAGAGTCAGTAAGGAAGTGTGGGGGGGAAGGTGTGCAGAGATCACTTGGGTTTCTTGTGTGTAATAGTGCCTACCAAAAGCCTTTCTGATTGTTTATTTTGAAGCTAGGATTAATATTTAAACCTTGTTGAAATACAGTCATTTTAGTTTAAAAGTAGTTGGGACCTTGTCCCCCCTTACATTGGAACTGGAAGCTGCTTAGTAGGTAACTTACGTGATGGGCCACTGAACACAATCTTAACTGTCCTATTGTTAACTGAAGGTACACAAAACTCAGGTCCTTGCTGGAGTTAGAACTACACAGCTTTCTAGTTAAAACTAATGCTTAACACGGGGTTTAAATTAGATGAAGTCCCATCTCTTGGCAATTTTTACATCCCTGCCAATAGATGACCTTCTCTGCATATAATTTAGAAGTAATCATCCCTGTGCCAAGAAACATAGAGTGGGTCTAAAGATAAGTCCTTCCAACTGTGCCCAACTGAAGCTAGACTTAAACCTTACTTTTATCTGTAATCAGCTTCAGCATAGGTAGGAAAAGAGCCTTGCCTCTAAGTTGAAACTTGCCTGCAGAAAATGGGATCATACCTCATAGTCCTTTCGTGAAGCCAGGTTTCATGTTTATAGTGGAGATTTTCCAAATATTCAAGCTCAATTCCTTGCTCCTCTTGTCTTCCCCTCATCAGTAGCCTTTCCATGCATTTCTGAAAAATACAAGCCTGGCCATTAGTCATGTGTTAAAGGCTAAATCAGCTAAACAGTCAAATGGTCCTTAAATCAGAAGTACTAATACTAGACATGAGTGAGCATTAACTTGAAATGCTTGGCTGAACGTAAATTTTTTTCCGCCTTGGATCCTTACTGAGGGTGGTGGATGCTAGTGACTGTAGCACTTGCTGACATGAGGATAGCTCAGAAGGGAAAGCTCCTGGAAACTGAAGATGGAGCTGAAATATGTTCATCTTTAGTGAACGTACCTGTGGTGTGGTTCTTAGGTAGATCATGCCATCCAGTTCTATGTCCGATTCAAACTGATTCAAAAGCCATGTGTGCCAGTCCTGATAAATAGCCCACTCTGTTTCATTAATATTTCCAGACTCAAACAGGTTAGAAGCAAATATGTATCTGCAATTTATATAATAATGCATTAGTCTTACATCAGGAATGACCAAAGTGAACTACTAAAACACTTCTCCCTAGAATATGAATCATGGTACTGAAAAAACAGCTGCCCACTCTTGCATTTATACAATACTAATGCCATCCACCTCTCACCTGTTGAAACAAACCTGCTCCTTACAGATACTAGTTTAATGTCAAGGGTTTCCCCAGCTCCATGTCTTTGAGCATAAAAACCTGGAGCTGTTAATCTGAACTCTTGTTGCACTGTGAGAGTAATTACCTGTCACTGTACACAGATCTCTCAAAAAATTGCACTGGATGTTCTGCTTCCTGTAGCTTGGCTGAGACAGGTTTTAATTGTGCTCTTACTCGGCTCAAGCAAGCATAAGTCTGAAATGTATAAGCCCATCTTGTGGGTTTATCATACAGCATTTGAAGTAGATTTCCTCCACTCTTCTGAGATGTTGAAAGTTCCTAGGGCACAAGAGAGAAAATTTCATAGCAGCATATTTACAGGGTTTGATTCCTTTTTCCAATCCAGAAATCCGGTATGTAAGAATTCATGGCATTGTATATTTTTTTGGGGGAAGTGCTCAGTTGAACAGTTGTTTCTCAGCTCATGGTAGTCTTTACAGCAGCTTTTTTAGAGCAGGTTGATCATAGAGTTTCAAGCTTGTGTCATTCCTGTGGAGTAGGGGTGTTTGTTTGGAATATGCATTCAGTAGTATCTAACTAAGTAGCCTTTACAATTTTCTGAGCGTTTGACCAACTGGTATGATAGTGGGGATGACTCTGGATGCTCTAGACTCAGGATAGCTGGGTTGTGCAATGGCTCCCACTCCCCCAAGCTCCCCTGGTCCAGCACACCCACCTGGTGTTCATCCTCGGCTGTCTGGATGTTGCACCACTTGGCGATGGGTTCAGGGATGATCTCCCACTCATCACTGTGTTTCTCCAGTAGCCTGACAAATGTTGACTTCCCTGCAGCTGCAGAAGATGTGAAAAGTTCACTGAGGGTGTAGATTAGAGTGGTCTCACTGATAAAAGGTAGGGGCTGCTGTGCGGTTCCTCACAGAGGCTGTGGGCAGTGTGGCTGCAGGGGACCCCGGGCAGGCCTTGGGCTGCTGGGACAGGGCCAGGCGCTGGCGGGACCGCCTGTACGGTGCCAGTG